CTGTTTATTTACCTCTTTGCGTTTGTTAAAATAGAGAATTATTGCGAAATAAACCCCTTCAGCATGTTACTGATCATCTTATTGTGTGATTTAACGATGTCCGACATACGAGCCATTCTCATCCTCATTTTCTTTTGAATTTGATTCTTGTTTCTCAATGTAGTGTCATTCTCCAGTCTTCCTCCTGTTCCTGGAGTGCGTGTGGCAGCTTGTTCAGCAGCACAGCCCAGCCTTCCAGTTCTCCGAGACTTACCTAACTGTGCTGTCCGACAGTGTTCACGTGCCAATCTTTAGCACCTTTCTGTTTAACTCTGCCCATCACAGAGAAAGTGTTATGAAGGTAGAACTTATATATTCACTTAAAACTCTCTTGTTGAGGTTGGTGTCATTGTGATTGCACCTTAGAGTTAGTTTGCTACACTGTTTTGAAGATTGCTTTTTGAGTACTGCATTCACCATTCTGCATGTTGAACAGTATTAGAGGCCTTTATAGAAGTACAGTGGCTAACAAGAAAACAATCAGCCCTCTGTAATGCTGTTATTAGTCTACATGTTCTCCAAAGATGGTGGCCATTGCCTCCCTGACACAGTCGGCATGCCTCCTGCTAACTGCCTGTGCTTGATTGTCTTGGCAGGCAGAGTCACCACTTGCACAAAGCGGCCCATTGAGCTGCCCTACAGTGTGGGACTGGTCTGTGCAGTTTGACAGCAAGGCCCAGAATTTCTTCTATAACCCCCTGTATTCAGAAAAGGTGAAACATGAGAAAGCTGTACGCAAACCTCACAAGCCTAAGGTGAGAGAGTGAAATGCCCCTATATTTAATAATTTAGGGAAAGATGTTGAAGAATGCCTTCCTTAAGATCTGTGTTCATTTACTGATAAATTGTATCATATTTAGAAATTAGTTTAGCATGTATGCATCATGCAGTATATTATTAATGGAAATACATTTGCACATTTAGGTTTTGTAGCATAATATTTAAAATGCAGATATATCTGATATCATGTGAAACACAATGATTGATGTTTCAATAAGGTGTCATCAAATCAATGAATGCATAAATGTACGTTTACAATTACCTGAATAATGACCAATAAATCAATGACAGAATCCCAGTCAGAGACACATAGCTGAATTACAATATGCAATCTGAATTATTTGCAGACCTGCAATGTAAAATAAAAAAAATATATGTAATTATACACAATTTTATATTTTTAAATATTGAAAAAAGTCATTATTAGCAAGATTTTTTTTAATCATGTGAACCCATTTATTTTGCAGTGCCGTTTTCTATGATGCAATCATTACTGATGGACAAAATCAAGTGACACCATAATTTTTTTTGTTATTGTTTGATAACTTGAATATGTTACAATTGGGATAAATGTTTTTGCAATTTCTTTTTCATTCTGAATTTAAATTAAATAAAAATAAAAAAAAACGCCAAATTCTTCTGTAACCTATGGAAGCCCATTTCCGCCACTGAATAATAAAAAAATAATAATAATAATTGCGACTTTTTATCTCACAATTCTGACTCTTTTTCTTGTAATTGAGAGTTTATAGTCCACTATTATGACTTTATAGCTCACAATTGCAAGTTTATATCATGCAATTCTGAGAAGAAAGTCAGAATTGCGAGATGTAAACTCGTAATTGTGAGGGGGAAAAATGAGGAAGAATCAGAGATGAAAACACCTTTTTTTTTTATTCAGTGGCGGAAACGGACTTCCATATTAACCTCTTGCTACAAAATATTTTAAAAACCTGTATTTGTTACCATACAAATCTAAATGCTTTACTGTTCAGATATAATAAATCTCACAAATTTTGGTGTTCACATAAAACCTTTATAAGAGCATAGCTATTTGGTAAATTTGTTGAGATGTAGTGACATCTGTAGGCAAGAGGAAAAGGAAGGTGACGGAGACACCATACCCAATCTTGCCCTACTTTAGCTTTATGTTTGTTTGTCTGACTGTGCTGTTAATATTGATTAATTTCTAAGTTGAGTTCATTCTGTGCATTAATATGTAATATTTACATTGTTTTTATTTAAAATCTCTAGCACCAAAGACAGTTATCCTTACCCAGTACAGCTTTCAAAACCCCACTGAAGAAAGGTTTCTTTAAGGATGAGACCGACAGCCTTAAAAAGATGCTACGAGTGAAGCGTCTCAGTCGCTGGATGGGCTCTCCTGACTCCCCCGCTGCCACCACCCGAGAGTTCTACGAGTCCTGGCAGCACCGTCCTGTGGACTATCATGGCCTCCTGCTCCCCTGTCTGGACGGACCGGCTGTCCGTGTCTGGATGCAGCGCTACCTGCGCTGGATACCTGAGATGTACATCCTGGGCGGAGGCTCCGTGGCCATGACGACCAAGCTTATGGAACTTCTAAGTCAGGTGCAGGATCTGAAGCGTGTGCTGGAGCAAAGAGACACGTCACAAGCTGCTAAAATTGATCACCATCCATACCTTCAGCACCGGCTGCTTTCGTTTGGCTCCTCGGGACGATTGTCATCCTCATTTCCCTTCGCTTACACCCGCAACCGATCTTTCAAGCCCATCATTCCTACAGGTCTGATGCAAAGCCTTATGGTAACTGACAGCCTAGCCAGTCAGGAGGATGAGGCCAGTTCGGTTGCGAGTTTTGTTTAACAGAGAATCTATTTTCACCCATATATTAAATATTCGTCCATTTATTATTAAATTATAATATTATGAGGTAAATACGGGATTATAGTGGCCTTGTCAGATTCAAATTAGGTGCTTAAAGTGCCTTTGGTGCTAAAGCGAGTCCTTTTGGAAAGTAAAACAGGCTTTTGTCAAACCACATGTGCCCTACTGTATCGAAAATATAATATGAGCCTTCAGACAGGATGAAGCTCTTTCATTTTTGATGTTCTTCACGGAACAATGCCTAGAATTGTTCTCTTGCTCATCACAACACAGGAACAGGATATAGCCCTGAGCTTCCAGCTTTTCCACAGTGCAGTGTTACATAAAATCATTACCAAGTAACATTTCAAAACAGTATTCCATTCCAGTGGTCTATGAATGGATGAAATTATCCTGAATAATAGCAACCATTATAAGAGTTACAAATACATTTGACTTCCACACTTCTCTGACTCCTCACATATTACTGTACTCAGAGGGTTGGAAAAAGGCCGCTGCAGTTCTTAAAGCATGTTTTCTGTATCTAAAGAAGGTTAGCCAAGGAAAATAATGTGGAGCCATCTACAGGTATATTATTGTTACTGCTGCATTTAAAATGTATTGAAGATTAGATTATACTCACTGTGGTCTGATGTGACTGCTCATTTCTTTTCCCTAGATGCCAAGTCAACCTTCGGGTTAATAAATGGGGTTTTTTTCTTAAGAAAATGTAAAAAAACAGGAAGTATGGAACAATACATGAGATCAGTTGTCTCAGAGTTTCAGTGCTTTGTTGCATAATGTACATTGTGTGGCTCTTAACCATCCAGTGATAGGCTGGCTCTTATTTTAGTAGTACATTAAGACACAACGATTTAAAAAAAGTACACAAAGCTGATTATTAATATCATCACAATTTATTAATACTTACCACAACAAGATTCAACTGCCCAATTTTATATATATATATATATATATATATATATATAATGGAAAATCATAGTAAACTGCAAGCCTCTGCAAATATAATTATTTAAACATAAGCTAATGTAATACTGTATCTGCATTTGTGCACATTTTCTTATTTTCTTTTCTGAGGTGCCTGCAGGACTACTGCCACAAATCAACAGGCTCTTCATTCAAAAAAATGTGTTGTTTAAATTGTGTTTTTCAGCATTTGAAATGTAATGAAACTGATGTAAGCTCTGAACTGTTATTTGCTGGCAAAAGTGTGGAGAAAGCAGTTTCCTGAGCATTTTGTTTTTGTTTACACCTTTTTCACCCTTGTTTTGCACTACTGCTCCTTGCCAGTCAATCACTGTTACTTGAACAGTCAGCTTTAAATCTGATTCTGTTCACTTCAGTTCAGTTCAGCACTTCTCTTGTGTATGGCGAGGGATTGCAAGCTGGATTTGAAACTTATTACTGAACTTAATACTGTACAATTGTTTTGTATTTTTTTATAACCAACTTTTAATGTTCACATTATCAGAGTTTGGCCTTGAAATATATGAAGTATGTCAGATTGCTTTATTTTGGACCATTGACTTAAAAATGATAATTTTCATGTAAAAGAAGCATTAAATACTTTTATATATGCACTTGAGAAATATGTCACTCGCTCTTTTTGTCCACAGAATATGATTGAAATAAAAGACTGCTTTGCAATCGTGTTCAATTCTTATTACAAGTAATCTAACAAGCAATAATTTTAGATTAAACACCGTAATTTTTAAAGGTTATAGTTCTGACATTTTTTTTAAATTATATATATATATATCTTTCTTTATAATTTAGATATTTTATATGTTCGTTATTCTTTGTCCGCTGATTCTCTTGAAAGTGCAGTAACCGTACAACTTCCCCTAAAATGCAAAATCTTTAAATAAATGATATAATATATTTATGGCACCACCTGAAGTCTGTCATAAAACCTAGTGTGATACCCAGCTATCTTAGTATCACTTAGACATTCTTAGAATTTATTAGTTTTTTTTTTTATTTTTTAAGTTTAGTAGGCTATTAATTTCTGTAATTGCTCTGTTTTTTTATTATTTCTATTCTTTTTTTGTGTATATAGTTTTTATTTAATTTAATTTATTTTACTACATCAAGTTAAAATAAATAAAAATTAGAAATGTTGCTTTGGCACCTAGTTTTTTTTTATTTTTTAAATAGTATATTTTATTTCAAGTAACCAAACATTTTTTTAATGGTTTTGGTTGTAGTTAAATATATTACCCTGGTGCTAACTAACGCACAACGATGCTCAAAAAATGCTGTCTCGGTATGTAGACCCCCCAGGTTTCGAGATCCAACCTGAGTGTCGAGATGCCACATCCACTGCTGTTCTCGTCACGGCTGGTCGCCATATTAAACCTGACGGAATCGGCGACGCTCCGCGGTAGGGATCGCGAGGGGCCCCTCTCCAAAACAAATCCCGATTTACACCTTCATTCCCTTAATTCGCCCCGGGAATCATTTATGCATCGGACTGAATAAGTCAGTCTTTTCTCAGACAGGAGCTGTCTGGGAAGGAGGTTTAGTTTTAGTGTTTGAGATATGAGTACTTTGACCCAGCGGAGCTCCGGCCTGGTGCAAAGACGCACCGAGGCTTCGCGCAGCGCTGCGGCCGCAGACAGAGACCGCGGATCAGGCGACGAGGACTACGAGCCCCGCCGTGGAGACGAGCAGGACGAGGATGACAGCGGTGATTCCAAGGAAACCAGACTGACCCTGATGGAGGAAGTACTACTGTTAGGCTTGAAAGACCGCGAGGTTGTTGCTGTTTTGATTTGTAACGTTAGTTGACTCACTGTAGTCGATGTTTAGCCCTTTATCTCTTCTTCACTCACCATGATCGCTCCCAGTTGATAATTGAGCTCTTTAAAGAAAGAAGGAGCTGAAAACAATATGGTTGTTTTTTATTTTAGCCCGTTTGTTTTTAAATTGGTGACATTTTGAGTTAAAGTCAGCCAAATGATTGCTGTGATGCAATGTAGCTTTTAGCTTGCCTTGAACTGCATTAGAAGTTGTCTCTCTGGCCCACCAGACTGTCATAACAAATAATAGTTAAGTGAACTACATCGGTTAAAAAACAGACTAACCCATTTAACTCTCTAATATACAAATATAGTCTGTTTCGTGTAGCATAAGGTAGCCTAAGCAGTGACATTTTGATGCTATGACATTATTATGCCATATCCACATAAAATATATTATGATAGTTTTATATGCAATACGTAACTGATAAGAGTATGAATTTGAAGCAGTTGTGTATATACTGATACAAATCGACGGTCAAAAGATGCATGTTTGTAGTTAAAATGCACTCATCCCCCTGTCCTTGTCACAGGTCGCCCACATGCACACATTCTTAAGATGCATCCAGATATGCTTAACATAATCATAACAAGAAGCATTTTGGAACAAATCCAAAGATGACTTTTTTTGTAGTTTGTTGTGGTGGTTCTCCACGTCTGTCTTATCTGAAACATAGGTCTCGAGACCTCTACTGAGAAGTTTTGGTAACATTTTATTTTAAGGTGTCCTTGTTACACATGTTACATGTACTTACTATTATAATAACAACAATAAATGATGCATAATTACATGCAAGTAACCCTAAGCCAAACCCTAATCCTAACCCCAACCCTATAGTAAGTACATGTAGTTAATTACTATTACTCAGTACTTAAATGTATAATTACACCGTAACAAGGACACCTTAAAATAAAGTGTAACCGAAGTTTTTATTGTTTTATTTTCCTGATAATGAGATCACTCGCTACAATGTGATGAGGTTATGTGATAACGGTGTAGCCATACCACTGTGTTTGTTTTCGTGGAATAATACCTTTCAAGTATACAGTGCGTAATGCACAGTATTCAGTAAGTAGTAAGCTAGTATTCCATTGTGATTATAGCCATTCATTATGTTAATTATTAACTCCCCAAATCAATGTAGAACTCTCATAGATGCCACAATGTTGAATTAACTAATATGACTGTCTAAAGGGAAAGAGGCCTACTATTAGCCAGTTTGGCTGTGAGATGCCTGCTGTAATTGTGTTGACTGACCCTTAATTAAGGTTCATATAGGTAGTGAATTGCACCTACCTTATTGTCTGGCCTCTGGTTACATTTTGGTCAAGCAGGCATTCAACAGTGCAGTGTTACTGAAGACACCTCTCTTTATAGCCCATTCATGTCAAATTACTGTCTGCTTTCAGTTATACTCTCAACAACGGCTTTTCAATATCATTCTAAGTGTTTTATTTGGGCTGTATGTGGATTTCTTTGCCCACAGACCTCAAACAGTGGATCTTTGGTTATTGTACATGTCAAATATCAGGTTTGACAGTTTGAAGAGACACTATTTGTCAATCAATTTGTAGAATGCTCTGCATTTTAAGTGAAACATTTTTGCTTTTTCTTAGCATATCAAACCTGGAATCGTTCTGTCATTATCCTCCTACAACAGAGATTTGCAAAGGGTTGACTTTTAGATTTATATAGTTTCTTTCCCTGTTGTCATGTTTAGATGTTTATGATCTAGTCAGTGTTATACGCTTTAGAGTTTGTTCACTAAGTTAGTTTTGCAAGGGTGGTAGATAGATTTTTAACAGCAGTGCACAAGAACATTATTACAGAAGGTCTTTAATCCCTGCCATGTTCAGTTGTTGAATATCATGTAGAGCCCTATACAGAGGCCTCACTTAAGATTTGCTTATCTACATGGAAAGCAGCAGAAAGGATAAATGGCTTAACTTAACATGTCCCAGTACTACAGTTTGCTCATGCTTATGGGTGGCACAGAATTTACAGAAACATTGTCAACAAACAAGCACTTTAGAGTCTGGCTATTGGTTCTGTTGCTTGATTGGGAGAATCTTACAGAACCTGTCAGAAACATGTGTAGGTCATATTTTACTCCAAAATCAAAAGGAAAAAAAGAAAGAATTTGTGCTTGATTGTCATGCAAGTAATGCCGTGTTACCCAATTACAACACAATAATGCATTTTAGTAATGTGAATAATTCTGAGCAGCAAACACCAAACCATGATCTTAAACCTGTGTAAAAATTGTTAACAATATTTCGCAATACATCAACAAGGACACCATCTGGACACCTTGACATTTTTAACCCTGATTGCATATGTCTAACCACATTAAACCAACAAGAAAAGATGAGATATCATAAGATGACATTAAGCATTGATCTACTGTGAAGTAAATAAGAGCATCTATTTTGCATGTGGTTTATCTCCTCCAACTGTTCTGACTGTGCCATGTTTAAATACAGCTGCATTTGCCTACTGAGCCATTATCATTCATGATTGTTTAACGGCGTGTCGGCTCTTAGTGAGCTCTTATGCTGTTATCAGAGCTCAAGTATCTAGGTTACTCCCGTGACAGAGGACTTACGTACAGTGTCAACAAGAAAACTATGACAGACTTTTGTCAGCCTGACTGTTGTGTTCTTCAAAGAAGCAATATTTTAATTGTTGAATGCATTCATTTTAATTTTTTTTAAAAGACAAGATACTGAAGTCATTCAGGCTTTGCCATACTTCTTGGCAAAGGTATCTTGGTATCTTGCCAGTCTGTCATTCTAGCAATGTCAGTAATCAAAGGATCACAAGTCGTGATATGTTTAACATCTATCCTACCGTTCAAAAGTTTGGGGCCGGTAATAATTTTAAAAAATGTTTTGAAAGAAGGCTCTTAAATTCTCACAAAGGCTGCATTCATTTGATCAGCAATACAGTAAAAACAGAAACATTGGATAATTTATTAATTTTAATATGCTGATTTGGTGCTCAGTTATTATTAACTATGTTGAAAACAGTTGTGCTGCTTAATATTTTTGTGGAAACAGTGATACACTTCTCCCAGGATTCTTTAATGAATGGTAAGACCAGTATTTATTTGAATTTTTATATATATATAGGTCAATTTCTTTCAGATAAAGTATCACGTAATTCTTAATGAGTGTAAGGCTATTTTTTATTTATTTAATAAGCCAAGCACAATTCCAGCTAAACTTGATCATCATGCACTTTTGTTGTATGAAAAAGCAGCTTTGACATTTGATGGCAATTTTAAGTTCCACTGGGGGGGAAAAAGTTGGGATGCATTTGTCCCAGGACTTTGTGCTTTGATTTGGCAAAGTTAGATATGATTTTTGTTTTACTTTTTTTTTTCTTCCATTCAAAATCCACATGCTTCCTGTATTTGAATGACCTTGCCAGTGCAAGATGAACTGCCATGATACAGGTCATTGAGAACACAGAATGATATAACATTGAGCTTCTATCGCTCTGAGTTTTTTGCATGCGCTCCACTTCACGTGCAGAGCATTGCCTGTGTTGCCAGCGCCTTGAAAGAGGCCTGTTGTTTCCCATTAGTGGCCTCTGGGACAGGAAATTGGACCTCACAAAGCAGGCCTTGTTAATACTGGTGGAGAGATCCATTGCTCACTTCATCCACAGCTGACCATGACACTGCACGAACTAGAGTGTTGGAAGAAATTCACAGTTTTAATTGATGAATTCAGTTCAGGCCACACCTCACAAGAAGCTGAAGAATAACAAAAGGTGAAATTTACTGAATTACAAAATGCAATTGTCACACAGAGTTGTGTTGTAGTCCAACACAAATTGTGACAAAACTAATTATTATTATTGTTTCGCCTGTTTATGCCTATGTATTTTTTAGTTTGTGCAATACTTTTTTTAAACCTCAACTAGCCATATATATATATATATATATA